CGCTAGTGTCACGCTGTCTGACAGGTCTCCCAAGCGTTTCCGACATACATCAAACCAAAATTAATTAGTGGTGAACAGTTACTATTCAAAAGTAAACTCATCTTGGACATAGAGAAAATGAATAAATAGATATAATAAAAATATCGGTTAATAATGGTGTTTGTGAATGGGCTGGTTGGGGCTGGGATTTTGTGGTGAGCAGTCCGATCCCGAAGCTCGGGTCCCTTGGGCTTAGTTTCGGCCCAGATCCAGCCCACAGCCTAAAAGCCTGGAGCCGGTTTATATAAATTTTTTTAAGAAAAACCTTGCTGAAATTTAAAACAACTACGTACAACAAGATCTCATTAAGAGAATGTCACAAAATTTAATAAAGGAAGTATTTTATTAAAGATTGATGAAAGTTTTATAATGGTACTTAAATTGGAGATAATTACATAACAGAATAGGAATATTTCTGATTTATATCATAAACAAATTACAAGAACTAAGCACTCTTGATATATATTGAGTTCTTGAAAAAAAATCCTAAAAATTTACTAAATATTATCATTTAAAACTTCAACTAGTGGATGAACCTGCTACATGACTTTCATCAGGAGAATCTTCTACAAATATGTTGCTGTATGATACCTTGCGTCCATTCTTCTGCTTTGAACCGGTCTTCAGAGAGCATCGATCTCTTCAAGTTCTCATTGCTTAAACTGCATCTTCTGGGTCAGTACTCTATCACCAGTTTAAAAAAAACACTCTGAGACCACTGTAAATGCCGGTGGAGTTAGAATATCATTGCCCATATTAGAAAGCATGCTGACAGTTTTTTATTGTGCTTAGCACCATGCCAATATATCAAAACTTGTTGCTTCCTCATCAGTAGCAAAATCATCTTGTCGTTCAAAGTAAAAAAAAGACAGCTCAATTGAAGTATGTGAGGGTTTTGTTTTTCACTTCTATTCATTAAAGATTTACTCTAAAACTTTTTAATGATAGACTTGGGACTGTGGAGCCAAAGTCTTGGGTCTAGACCTCAATGTTGCAGCATAATCATCATATAACTCAAATAATTTATCGCTTACGTTGTTTGTATATTCACCTACGTCAAAATAGTACTGCATATTTTCATAAATACCAGAAATTGTATGTTCACAACCTTTTAGGCTAAATTACCATATTGGTATATTTAGTTATCACATTTTACCAATAAGGTATACTTAGTAGCTCCAGCAACAATAAGGTATTAATACCTTATTCTAAGTTATCATTTTGGTCTAATCTCTCATCGATGATAAGAACTATGTGCCAGAGCCTAACATGTCTTCAAGTGAGCAAGTTTAAACGGTAAAAAATGCTAATATGTCGGAGCTTTGATGATTTGTTAGAGGGTTAGGCGGGATTCATAACTACCTCAAACTCTAAATAGAAGCCCAAAAGCCCTCTTCTCTCTCAAAATTTTGGAGACTGAAGGAAAACAAAGAACCCTAATTTTCTGCCAATTCATTTTCAGCCCATTAGAATCTCATTTCCAAGTTAAATGAAACCAACTACATTATACATGTCATCATCACTTTCCAAGTCAGCAGCCAAAAAGAACCAAATCGGGTGCATGTGAGGTCACGTGAGCATTTGCCTCAAAAAAGTACACCAGAGGGGATCTTATTTAGCAAAATGGAAAATTGGAATATGTTTTAATACCTTATTGTTGTCGGAGCAACTAAATATACCTTATTGATAATTTGTTCAACTGAATATACCAAACAGGTAATTTAGCCCAACCTTTTAGCTTTCCTCTAGGATCCATTACAATTCCGTAACTGAATACTAAAGATGTCTTTTTACATATTTATTGAATAAGAAAAAATAGGTCTATAAGTTGGCCTCAAAACAATGCTTCTAAGTTGGAAAGTAATGCCAATGAAAACAGGACTCATCCACTTCTTTGCTTGAGGAGTTAAGCGATGGCTAAAAAGTAGATGTTAGTGTATCCTAGCCATTTAAAAATGTTATGAGTTTGGAACCGATTAACTATGCTTAGATCTATGGGCATAGGAGCTGTATAAATGGTAGGATTACTTTATCCTTTCATTATATGTATAGTGTAGACTATCTAAAAATCACAACAGATAGCTGATCCCCCATCAAACACCAATGATAAAAGTTACAATTCGACGGCTTCCAGAAGGCTACAATTTGAAGACTTTCACGTAGATCGATGAAGGTTACAATCTGACGACCTTCGCAACAACTGATGAAAGCTCTAATCAACAGCCTTCACAATCAACATCGGGAGTTACAATCTGACGACTCTCACATAAGAGTTGTAATTTTCATTTTTGTTGTGTAACAGACGTCTTATAAAAAGACTATCTCTTTCGAATTTGTTGTAATCGATCAAAGATATAATGAATTCCACAACGAGACCAACTTTTGACGAAAACACCTCCTGTGTCGATCAGCATCATTCTTATATTTAGCATTAGATTGTTCTATCTTCTCCTTTACTTCTTGTTGGATAGCCCGTATCTTTTTAACCATATGATCTGCAGGAACACTCTGTCCGGGAAGCTTAGGCAATGGAGCAAGGTCGAGATAATGATTCGGAAGCCTTCCATACACAATCACAAAGGGTGTTGTAGGCTATCTAAAGATCACTACAGATAGCTGATTCCCATCAAACATCGATGATGGAAGTTACAATTTGACGGCTTTCAGAAGACTATAATTTGAAGACTTTCACGTGGATCGATGAAGGTTATAATCTAACGACCTTCGCAACAACTGATGAAAGCTCTAATCAACAGCCTTCACAATCAACATCGGGAGTTACAATCTGACGACTCTCACATTTTCAAGGAGCCAAGACGAAGGTTACAAGATGACGATCTTTGCAACGCTCTAGCAACAGAGACTACAAATCGACGGTCTCTTCAAACTAAAACGTAGATATCTCTCAAACCGTAAGGAATTTGGCAAAACTGACGGAGCAAACTGAACCCTATGGGGTTGGTTTGGTCGGCTCCGTCTCTTCGAGATAGCCGATTTTCATATATAATTCGTCCAATTCCGACTTACGGTTTGAAAGTTATGACATGTTTTTCGCAGCAAGTTATGTTCTGAAGTCCGTCTGCAAGACTGGACTTCGTCTGAACATTGGACTTAGCCTAAACCTCGCCAAACCCGCCTAAAGGCTTGCCTCTGCATTACAGAGTCAAAACGCAGAGTTTGTGGACTTAAAACGCAGAGTTTGTGGACTTAAAATGCAGAGTTCAACTCTGCGTCCAACAACAAAAACGCACAGTTAATGCGGAGCCTAACTCTGCGTCCCAGGTCCAGAGACGCACAGTTAATGCAAAATCCAACTCTGCGTCCCAGGTCCAGAGACGCACAGTTAATGCAGAACCCAACTCTGCGTCCCAACCCTGTGTCCCAGGTCCAAAAACGCACAGTTAATGCAAAACCTAACTCTGCGTCCCAGGTCCAGAAACGCACAGTTCATGCAGAACCCAACTCTGCGTCCCAGGTCTAAAATGCAGAGTTCATCTCTGCACAGCACGACCTGTGCGTTTTCAGCCTAAAACAGGCCTAACTCTGCGTTTCAGGTCCAAAAACGCATAGTTCGAGCCCAGAACGTTGTTTTTAGCGTTTGACTCGTTCAAGCACGATTTGAACGGTTCCAAAACTGTTTTCTCCCCAAGATTTGAGGGGATCACTATCCTATCATGGAGAGATTTATAGGGGGCAGTTACACCCTATTAAACCCTCATTAAGGAGAGATTTAAGGGGACGGTTACACCCCTAAATTCCCTATAAATAGTGGGAAACTCAACCGAGTTAAGGGCTGGCTTTTTGGACCAGAGAATTGGCAGCAAAGAAGAGATCTTCGGCTGACCTTTTGGGCGAATTACTGGAGCTTCCTGCAGCGAAAAAGTTTCTTGAAGCCTTGGGCCTTGGCTTGTCAAACCGATTTTCGGTTAAATCAACTCTTTCATAGAGTTTCAAACTCGTTCAGAATTATCAACTCATCAAGAGTTCTAAAACTTGCTTTGCAAGTTCTCCACAACGTCAAATCGTGAGGAAAAAATCACGTTCCAGTGAAACAAGACGTTCGGATCGTCAACGGAGAGCAAACTCGACGCGAGCATTCGAGGGAGGCAAGACGTTCGGATCGTCAACGGAGAGCAAACTCGACGCGAGCATTCGAGGGAGGCACTCCATCGCCACTGTGAAGTCGTCAACGGAGAGCAAACTCGACGCGAGCATTCGAGGGAGGCACTCCATCGCCACTGTGAAGAACCCAGGATTAAACAAAGGGGAGAATCCAGATCATTCTCTTCTCTTTTGTAATTAGGAAATCCGATTGTAACTGAGATTAAGGAATACAGAACAATTTTCCTTCATTCTTTTTACAGCAAATTTTTCCACAAACACATAGCAGTTTTAACTCCTCAAGCCAACACAGAACAACTACAAGGATTCTTGTCCAAGAAGGTGTGTAAGAAGGACAATATCATCAGAAGCAAAAGCCAAGAGTTCTTGGATGTTTTATCCTCTCTAATATGAAAAAGTAAAGTAGAGAACACTACTTCTATCTACCAAAGTCTATTATTACATGGCCAATTGCAATTTGTTCCAAATTTTAGCATTTAGGATATCCCTTGTAAATTCCCACTTTTCACTAAAGAAGAATCAAAGCCATCAAATAAAAGTAGTATATTTAGAACATTAAAAAAAAGATATGTACAAAAATATAGCATAGTATCTTGCATATGTTTATCTCTCGTTCTTTGATAATACAAAAGCTTCAAATTTATACTTTAAACGAGTTTCAAACAATATAAGTAATAAATGCAGAACTCATATGCAGTAATTACAAAATAAAGAAATGATATTTAAAATCTCACCTTGCATACTCATAACTCTAAAGCCTCCACTACAAGATTGAATCAGCACCATCCTTGCATAGAAAAGTATACTAATCTAAGCAATGAGTTGTTAGGTGATAAATCGGCTTCGACTGAGAAGAAATGGAAAGTAAACACAAAATTAGACACTCAACAAAAGAATGTGCCAACTTAGGTCTTGAAATCAAGTAAATGTAACAAAGCAAAATCATTGAAAAGCAATTAGCAAAACAAACAGACCTTTTCGGTTGTCAAATAATGTTTGATAGACATCGATATGATGTATGTTGTCAGAACCCAAACAGACATTGGAAGTATTGATACATAAGCGAATGCCACAACCCAAATGGATTTCAACTCAAAAAAATTCATGCAATTGATTCTAAAAATTTACAAATCAAAATATCAATGCCAAATACAAAAATGGATCAGAAGTGACATAGCGCCAAATATGGTTTATCTCCATTAACAATAGGTTTATCACACTCCAGCATCAGAATTCACCATATCCTCTGGGTTAGCTTACTAGGTTAGTCATCTGTTGTTCTCCCGCTCAGCTGCACTATTCCTTGGAGCTTGCTGTGATTGCACAAGTCTAATCCTCTCCTCATATGCTTCCAACTCCTTTTTGTACCTTTCCTTCTCCATACTTTCTCGGTTAATATACATCTGCCATATAAAAAACAATTGAAATCGTATTAGAGTCTCAACACATTTGACAAATTTTGAACTCTTTGTGCAGTAAAAAAAATGCCCTTATTACCCTTTTCTCTTCTTCAGAGAACATAGCCCATGCTTCTTGAATATGCCTGAAATGTTCTATCATATCAGGGAATGGAAGATTCCGGATTAACTTTTCCTCAAAAAATATGCAGAAAGCGGTCCTACAAGGTGTTGGAAGCGCTCCAGGATCAGATGATGAAGTGAACGAAGATGCAGGAATGTTTGCTCCAGAGAGGGTCTGCACCTGCTGTAGCATCTCAGGCAAGTTTTGTGGACCTAATGTAATGATGATCAGGTTACTAAAAAATATATAGTACAAATACATTTCTCACGTTAAACTTTGGTAAATAAAAAATAAAAAACACTATGGTTTTGTACAAACAAATCAATTTTAAAAGTGATCCCCCTCCATTTATCAAATAATCTTCATTTTCCAATATAATATTCATGTACGGATTCATATAGGCTTAGAGATAATTCACATGTTTTCACTTTAAACTTGGTAATTTGAAATGAAGGAGTCAAATTCTCACTTTTAAAACCTTTGAAGGTTATTTTTGAAAATCATGCAAATCTTTGGGGTATTCTTTAATTTACCCTTTAACTTTAAAACAAACATCTTACCAGCTGGCATATTTTCTCCACTGCCATGGGCATCTCTATTTGCTGGAGGAGATTCTGCCTCTAGAAATTGAACAGAAGAGATTGAGCTAAGTCAGTGTGCTTTCAATAAAACCTTAGGCCTTTAAAAGAGAGAAAAAGACGTTTAAGGGAGAAGACTTCTCACCAACAGGTTCATTTTCCCTAATAGGTGATGCATCCCCTATAACATAAGATGAAGGGATGTGGTGTATAAGGATCAAGTAATTCTATAAAATAAAGAATAAAAATAAGAGATACAGGGTGGACTTCACCACTTGGTGCATGTAACCCAAGATTGGGTTCAGATGGAACATCTGCATATGCTGCAGTCTCATTGTCATCTACGTTTCAAGGAAATAGTTAGACATTTTATTTATTTATTTCATAAACAACGAAAAAGAAGCAGAGAGAATGTCAAGTGAGTGTACTATCTAGAGAAGCATGCGGGTTAGAGCCTGATCCTGTGATACGATTACGCTCCTCATTTTCAGGAAGAGGTGCAACTGGACAATGAGATGGAAGAGGAAAAATCAGATTAGTTTGTAAAATTATGTAGGCGAAAGAAAATTATTGTTGTTTTCTTTTGATAAGGAAAAAGAAAATGGCGAAGAGAGAAAAGCACATTAAGATATTTTCTAACACAAAAAAGAAGGGAAAATGATGCAATGAATTAAAATACAAAAAGAAAAAAACTCATAATTCTCGGGCTGGCTTCCCCCAGGAGACACGTGGTCAATGACAGGTTGAGGCAGCAACAAGATCTTTAAGAATGAAGATTAAGAGTAATTAATTTTACACATTAAAATGCAATTAATGTGATATTTATTTATATTTAAAAAAAACTTGTATAAGTAAAACAGTGGACTTTCTATCATAATTGCATATCTTTAACTGAAAACTCATAGTTGACAGTTTCCAGCTTTCAAGTGTATGCTACCTGCTTGCATAAGGTAAAAAATTGATGTATTTGTTTCTGATTTGAATATAAACAAAGCTAGATTTTACCTACTAATGCTACAAAATTCCCATATTGTGTCCATGTTCAGGGTTGATTTTGATGTCTTCTTTCCTATTGCGTGATTATCATTTATCACAAGTTCCCCCTTTTATCTCAAAAATATGAAAGAATACTACTTTCTTCCAAATATATTAATGAACGTTTTGGAATCTTGAAACGGATGCAATGTATCTCACATTTTATGACTTTGTTAAATTTTCAAATGAATTGGTAAGCTATAAT